TGGAGCCGCTCAGCAACCGCACGGTGCGCGGCAACACGGAGAGCGGCCGCTACGGCGACAGCTCGCCCAAGGAGGGCGCGCAGGGCCTCGTGGGCATCCCCCGCGGCGCCTCGCCGCGCCACATGGAGGGCTGCGCCGCCGACACCGACTACGAGGTGCCGCGGCCGCCGGGCAGCCGCGCGCCGCCCGACGCCGACCCGCCGCCCTGGATCGCGCTCGTGGCGCGCGGCGGCTGCACCTTCAAGGACAAGATCACGAACGCGGCGCGCAAGCGGGCGGCCGCCGTGGTCATCTACAACGAGGCGCGCTTCGGCAACAGCACCGTCTCCATGTCGCACCTCGGTGAGCGGGGCCGCCGGCGCGCGGGGCCGCGCTTTGTTGTGCCGGGCCCGGCCGCGCTTTGTGCGGCGCCGCGCTGCGCTGCGCAGAGCCCCCTGCGACCCCCCTCCGCCGCCCTCTTCCTCGCCATCCCCCCCTTTGGGCAGGAACCCCTCGGCTTGGCGGTGGGGCTCCCCCTTTGCCCGCGGACTGAGGGGGCTGCGGGAGGAGAGGCGGCCGCCGCAGCGGGAGGCCCCGTGGCGGTTAAAGCGCGGTTAAAGGAGGAAGGGGCGTTTTTGGAGCGGCCCCTCGGTGCGTTGCCGCAGCGGCGGGGACGGCGCCGGGTCCCGCAGCCCCGCCGCCCCGCGTGCCTGCCCCTGGGTGCCCCTAGCAAGGATCTCCTTGCCGAGACAGGGRCTCGAAGGGTCTGGCATCCAGCCCTGTCCGCTCTGCGGGGCTAAGGCGGGCCGCCGAGCTTTGTAGATGTGACAGTTTTAAAGGATCAAGCTGAAGAACAAGATGAAACTCTGCTAAAATGTGTCTGCAGCTGTAGATTTTTGATGGAACTGCAAGGCCTGCAGAGAAGGATGCGCMTACAAAGCAAAGTAAGGAGGGGGGAAAGCAGCAGATGTTTGCTTCATATGGCCTCCATACCCGAGCTTCTTTATGACCAGTCCAGCCTCCCTGGCAGCAAGAAGCGGCACAGGGGGTGGATTCGTTGACATAGAGCTGTAATGTGCTACCAAAGAAGACTAACTTAGTCGCTCATATGATGCAGCAGGAACCAGTTCCCCCAAACTAGCCTCTCTTTCCAAAATGCTCCTCTTGGCCCCTGCACGCTTGGCTGTGCAGTGGGGGCTGTTTCTGGTGTTCCTAGTCATTCCTGAAAGTGCAGGTGGGATGCTAAGCACAATGTATCTTTTAGTCTGGTATTAGGTGGCAAAGGAGGTTCTTTGTTTTGTAGCAATCTTTATATCACTTGCTACATTCTTTTTCTTGCTGTTACTGTATATTGGCCAGTGGGTTAAAAAGAAAAAAAAATCCCCTGTTGATTTTTCTTGTAAACTATTCTTTGCTGCTTTGCTTTTCGGTGGGGTATCTTGCTTCCTTCCACCTGCAGAAGGCTTTCTTGAACTGCTGCTCCACTTTGGGCTTGCGAGTCTAGCTGCATGTAGCAGTGCCACGGAGAGAAGTGTTTGCTGACAGCTACCGCTCTCTTAACAACGTTTTTATTGTTAGGCTGATAGAATTTTGCTGATACAAGCTCTCTCTAAGGGTTGCTTTGTTACCATAGCACATACATTTATGTATATTTGTATGCATTTGTATGGCTTTGTACCCATTTTGTAAATGCAGGGGCAGGAGCGTAACAGTAGATAATCAGTGGCTCTGCTGGAATAACAAATCTTCACTTTTGATGGTTGAAATTTTCAACTATCTAAACACTGAAAATTTCGTCAGGTCATTAAATGTGCTTTGTTGGGAGTGTAGGGAGAGATTGATGTTAGTGACTTGAATACTGGAGTGCTTGGGGAAGCCATCCCTAGGCAAGGGAGAATGGGGAATATGAGGCCCTTTGTGCTGTAGGGTTCAAGTTTGCYGGTGCTCTGAAAGTATTTGTGAACTGGCCCTGCAGAAACCCAGCTTCTGGAAGGGTCCAGAGTGACTTGCTGTAGTTAGTGTCAAAATATTTGATAATAAGCATGTGTTGCAAACACTCTGCAGTTCAGATGCCTACTTGAAACCTTGGGTACCTCACTGGTACAAAGAGTAGGGCTTTTAGTTAAAAKACGGATCGGTCAGTTTGAGCGTTGCTGTCTTGTTCTTACTCCCAGAAGACTGTTGTTAAAATAGGGCCTTTTAACAGTGTGTGCTGTGTATCTTGGGCCCTTGCTCCCTGCCTGAATTAAGTGGCTCAAAATGCCAGATGCCTTTTGTTCTTTGGTCGAGTAATGTTGAAACAGTAGAGAATGTTTTCTACCAGGAAACATTCATTTTGGCTGGGTGATTCCAGGAATTATGCTTTCTCTACTGATTCTGAACAGTATAAACTTGAATTTAAGTTTTGTCAAGAATSTAGATTTTGAAAGCAGTTTTAAATCTGTCAAGGTTTGAAGGAACAGGAGAGGCTCCTTGTAGTATGGTAGCTTGAAAGCCTTCAGATTCATCTCCCAAAACAAAGTAAATCGTGTATGTGAATATTAACTGGGAGAGGATTGGTGATGGGCCTGGGGTGGCAAAGTGGGGAGGGTTGTGAAGGGTGGACTGAGGAGAGTTAAACGGTCTGTGTCAATGTAGAAATTGAGGGAGAAGGATATRTTGCAGTGGAAACCATGACGGGTCTTCCAGTCCTGTAGTTTCTGTTATCCTTCATGCTATGTATCCTGCCCCTTTGTGAATTTTCCTGAGACCTAGGACTTGAGAATGCTGATAAAATTGTGAATTTAATACTCTGAAGATCCAGGAATAAAATATGATTGTGCCTGACAAACATCATTTAGATGGGAATAATGGGTCTGGTCGCAGTACTTTGAGAAATGAGTCTGGAGCTTCAGGGTTTGGCCTGTAGGTTTAATGGGAGCTTGGGACTTAGCTTGAGTGTGTGGCTTTGGCTGTGTAAAGAAAACTGGTTTGGATCTGATGCAGCTTTACTGAAGTATTCCCAATAATTCTTTCACTGTCACTTTTTTTATACATATTAAACCAGATGAGACTAACGTTGTACTACTGCTTGTAAAGGCTGTGTTCCTGTTGCTGACATCTACTGATGTCTTCTGATAGCTCCTGGTGCAACCCTTCCAAAAGAGGAGAACCGAAACCAGGGGCTCTCTTAACTTTGAGAGCACGTATTTTATGTTGTGCTGCTACGTTGCTCTGACGGAACAAACAAGATAAGAGCATTTTCAAGCTAAGTCTTGTACAGATATAGGTGCATGTGTGATTAGAAGTGTATTGGAGGGAAGGACGTGTGTCTCTATTGACTCCTTGGCAACTTGACTGCTCTGGTTACACATCTTCCCTCTCAAGTGAAGAGAAATTGCAGCCCAGTTCTGGGGGGATGCAGTGGGGCAGGCAGTTGAGACAGCGAAGCTTGTCATGTCATGTTTAGTGTGCTGCTATATGCCTGGTAAAGGTCAGAATTTTTGACTTGCAATCAGAAGTGAAAGAGCACATTCAGTGTAAAATTCTGGCAATTTGAGTAAGGTGCCTAGTTTAAATAGATTGTCTTAAAAATAGTCTGACCTCAGACATTCCTACCAGGGTTCTCAAGCTCTGAGGACTTTCTGATGTTTCTCTTGAGGACAGAACTATAGCTCCTGCTTCCCAGATAACAGAAAATGATCCCGTAGTTATGTGTAGATGTGAATAGGAATAGATGTGATAGCTTGGAATGCCTGGAATAGAGATTTGTATCTGTGCTGCTTCTTCCTTATCAGCAGAGCACTGTTTTCCATTTGCAAGAGAAGGCTGTAGCAATACCAGGAGTAAAAATGACTGTGACACATGGACAGGAAACGTGCCTTCCATCTCCTCACAGTTCCAAACTTGTCCTCATTTCCAGGTATCCTAAGGATTTGCCAGCTCACACTGCTTTATTTGGATGGCTATTCAAACAAGCAAGCAAACAAACCAAACCTAACACCACATACCACAATATCAGTTTTCAAATCTACCTGATTCCACTCAAGTATCAAGCAATCCTTAAAAAAAAACAAACAAACAAAAAAACAGATTTATTCTGGCAGAATAAGTGTGTGGTTATTTATTGGGGATGGTCRTGGAAGAGTAAAGTCAACAGACTGTGCTTTCTGTGCATATGTGCTCTGTGATGTGCTCTGTGCAGGAGATGTTTGAAATTCTTTTGTACCTGTGATTTAAGGTCTCTTGAGTTGTATTGCAGTGGAGGAAGCTCACTYGGCAGMATTTTTGTTGCTGTTGTTGTTTTTAAATGCTTTTCAGAACAGAAGCCTAAAATTAGGGCAGGGAAGGGGAGCTGAAATGCTAATCTGAAGCTTTATGGGCCCACCTGGGGCATCAGCTTCTCTGAGCCCACTCTGAGCCCACAGTCTCCATTTTTCTTTCCACAATGTCATGATCTTCAAATCCATCCTATTTTACTTGGACTTATTTTAATAAGCTCTTCATCAAATCCTTAAAACATTAAAACTGCTTTTAATAGAAATTTAAAAAGTTAGACATGCACTATTTAACTTGTGGCTTGTAATAGATAAAAGCTAACTAGAAACTAAATGTGAGTAATAGCTATGATAAGAGGTGCTTTATCTCCCATTTATAACTCCTATTAAGTTTTAAAGTTGGAAGGTGTAACAGTATTGAGCAGCCGCAATCGCTCCTGCCGTGCTGAAGTATCCTGCTTTTTTAATCAAGTCGATAACTGACAACTGGATATGCCAATGCCAAAAGGGCTGTCCCATCAGTAGGCATTGCTGATTGTTGCAACTTTTAAAAAAACACTTGGTTATACATGGTGCAGAGAACTGTATAGCTGGATTTCAGCTGTTGGGAATGAAGAGGAAGTCAACACTGATCTAAAAGTTCAGGCATCTCCTTGGAGCTTGAAGCTCTTGAAGCTTTCTGCACTGAAGGCTGAATGAAACCATGCCACTCTCTTCCAGCAGTTCTTCCAGCACTCCTGCAGCATTCAGCAATAACCCTGAAGCACCTGGTTATTTGAAACTCTTACAGTTGATTAAAGACATAAAAAGTTATTCTACTGTTCAGATCTGTGGGTAATAGCTCTCAGCTTTGTGAGAAGTGAAGTACATTTCTACTTTCCTAATTTCTTTTCTTGTTAACACATTGKGGGTTTGTCCAAGGTCAGAAAGCAAAGGGAAATTCAAACTATCCCTTCTCTGCAAGATTAATTAGTCTGGTAGTGCTTTTGTGCTGGCTTATAGAGGAAAATAATGTTTGTTAACCAGTTCTTAGCGTGTTGGAGCTTGTGGTGTCAGTAAGCACTCTGTTCCTGACGGTAGGACTGATGAAGGAAGCGTAGCTGCCGGTGGATGTGTCCTGGTTGCTGTCACTGCGCCACGCTGCTCTCCCCTCCTAACGCTGCCGCTTGGCGAGGTGACGTGCGCCGGCGCTGCGCGAATTCCCCCTGCTCCACTGGGGAGCAGGGCGCTGACTGAGCGGAGACGCACGTTCCACCTTTCTCCAGAGTCTCCTCCAGAGCTTTAGGAAACTTGGCCTCACTTGCAAAATCTCTTCTCYTGCCAGGCCTGAAGCTCGAGAACGGCTGCAAGAGCTTTGAAGAGTAGATGAAGGGAGGGAGGGCGACTGCCTCAGCCAAAGGTGACAAAGGGCAAGAGGCACAGGAGGGTTATTCCTGTCATTGAACTTTCTGTGTTTTATCCCCAGCAGACTGTAAGCACCTTATGGAAGGAGGAACTGTCTATGGGAGGAAGAGCTATAGAAGTGAAAGTGTGCGTTATATCCTAGCACGCTATAGAAGTGAAAGTGTGTGTTACATCCTAGCATGCCACTGGATAAGGCTTCCCAGACTTTTTCTTTCAATGCTTCAAGCAAATAGCTGTCTATAGTAGGCAGATATGTTGGCGGTGAAATGCCTTTTTAGAGTTTTGAAAACCCTCCCATGATGTAATGTTATAAATCAGGAAGCAGTTTCCCTTGACATAGCTGACATAGCTTCTCAATAGTAAAACTACCGCAACTATGAGGAAAAAGGGCTTTATAAACACTCAGTGAGAAGTCCTCCTGCGAGTAGGCAATTTTGTGTATCTAAAAACATAGTCACATTATGGCTTTAGCTCTTTAGACACCCCCCCCCCCTTCTTTTTCCTGTTTCCTCTCTGAAAGGAGCTGCTTGTAATTTATAGTTTCGCTTTTTCTCATAAGCATGAGTGGAAAGTAGGCTCTAAAACTATGATTTGTCAGGACTATATGGCAGTATTAGTACATGAAGTAAGAATTTGAATATTTGAATAAATATGGTTTGAACTGGGAAGATGTGAGATAACAGTATTACCAAATAAGTGACAAATCAACTTGTTAAAAATGTTAAGTTCGGTATTCCTGGGACAATGCTGGAGATTTTTTTCAGAAAAACAAAGCAAAATCTGAGTGAAGCTCTAGCCAAAAGGGATGTTTCCTTTCTGCTAGTCAGTCTTGACAATATTTTCTCTTGCTTGGTCATACTAATGTGCTTAAAATATTTTTCTGGAGTCGTAAATTGTCTCCATATGGATTGAAGGCTTTCAAGTTTTAATATTGGAAAAATCCTTTGATTCTCTGCTCCCAAATGAATCTCAAAGTGTTTGTTAACAAGAGCTTGTCGTGATGCCTCATTAAACTTTAAATATTTAGGTATTAATTTATTTAATGTATTTTAATATTAATGTATTTTAATCTTTTTTTTTTTTTCCTGTTCACCTCTGCAGCCTAACTGTGCTGTGGATTCTGATTCAGTTTCACTGGATGTACCTCTTGGTAGTTCCTAGGCTGTCTCGAGCTCTCACTGGTCGGGGTTAGCTGTTTCTGAAAGCGTGTTACAGCGTCCCGAGGTGCAGTGCTTGTGACTTGCCTGTTCTTGCCTAGCGTCCATATCCCGCCTCGCTGTGTGAAATTAGAAGTAAAGAACCTTGATAGGTGCATCTATTGAAAGGTGTTTTGTATTTTTTCTCTCTTGCATTTGMGAGTTTCGTGCTGTAAATAGTGTGTTCTTTATTATGAAACTCTATTTAAGGCCTGTTGTGCATGAAAAAGCTTAGGCTTCCCCTATGGCTTTCCTCCCTGATCTTAACTGAAGAGGCCCATATTACCAGCAGGACAGATTGCCTTTCTTACTGTATTGACTGACTTCTTTTCCTGCCTCCCTCAACAGGAACAGGAAATACAGTGGTGATAATGGTTGGTTATCCAAAGGGAATAGAAATCCTGGAGCCAGTCCGAAGAGGCATTCCAGTGAAAATGAGCATCGTTGTGGGTACACGGCACGTGCARGAATATATCAGCGGTCAGTCGGTTGTGTTTGTAGCCATTGCCTTCATCACCATGATGATTATATCGCTTGCCTGGCTCATATTTTATTATATACAGCGTTTCCTGTATACAGGATCACAATTTGGAAGCCAGGTAAGTAGAGATGATGACCCTCGCAGTCTCCTCATGTGAAATCATTTTCCTAACTTTGCCTGTTTATTGAAGTATTCCTGAAGATAAATGTTTGCTTGCATTAACTATACATTAACTAAGAGCMGTGTTCAGTCGTGTTCAGCAAGGCTAATAAGTAGTGTGCTGATCAGTATCACAAAATTGTATGAAGTTGTGAGAAATCTGTTTTGCTAGTTGCGAACAGCTGAATAAAAGCAGCAGCTTGTGTGACTTATCGTTGTGGTTAGTTTAACTTCAGAAGGAAGGAAGTGATCTTAATTTATAAGTAACTTTCCCTCTAGAAAAGGACTAGAAGAAGAAATGCTAAAAGAAAGGACATCTAACCGGGATGTGCCTTTTCGGTTCTTTGGGAATTACTTTTGCGATTTATCTTGTCATTCCACCAGTGTAGAATCATCATGATCTGTTCATGGCCATTGACAAGCATGCCATAGTTCTGTAATCACTGTGAGGAGGGAAAAGAAAATTGCAACTGTGCTTTGCAAACAGTKTTTTATTTCTTTAACCTCAACTTTTGTATATAAAATTGTATATAAAAGTTTCAAGTGACTACTTAATGACTTGCCATGCCTTCTGTTTGGGTATTTAGGTTCTAACGATGAGGGAGAAGGAAAAAGATGATAATATTTGARCGATTTCAGATGTGTGAGTTCTGATGTAACTTACAGGACTGTTCTAGGGGATAACAAAATCCTCTTTCCAATAGCTGAGGGTAACACCTGAGTCATCAATATACCTAAACTTGCAGTCTAGTTAAAGATGCTTCTTTTGTTTCCCWTTGTACTCTGTAGGAATACTTTTTAAGTCTTAGAACTTGAATATTCTGAAAATATTTTCCAAAAAAACATATTATCCTGGAAATGATTATACAAAAGGTAATGTTTTTATGTGTTGTGAGAGATATTTGCTCGACAAAGTTGCCTTTTCCCATCATTGTAGCATTAGGACAATTACAAAAAGTACCAACTCTTTTTATAGAGAGTTTAAGAGTGTTTTATTGGATGGAATTGAATTGGATGGAATTGAATGGAATATTTACCCCCAAAATACTTGTCACAAACACTCAAAATATTTACCATTTTGTTTGTCTTTTAGGTTGTTTTTTAGTTAAAAGAAGTTGCCTAGCATTAGAATATGCCGTTTTCTTCTAGTCCCCCTCTTTTAATTTTAAAACAGTTGTTTTTTTTAAAAAACAAAACAAAACAAAAAACCCAAAACAAACAAAAAAAAAAACCTCCAAAAATGCAGTTTTCAACAAGCTAGCTTTTAAACCTGGTTTGGACACTTTGATCAAGATACATTGTTAGATGTTTACAGTATGGGTAGGAAAAGTATTTATTTAGCTTGGCAATACAACTCCATAGCAATAAAAACATGGCACAAGGTTAAYGAAGTTTTGCTTTATAGCAAGCTATTGTATAATGGTAAGAGAAGCTGAAAAAGAATATCCTATTAGTTGTCCTACTATCAGTTTAACACTAAATCTTTGGAAGAGTTCCTTGCTACCAAAAATGAAACAGGACTGTGCTGGTATAGAAGGTGGAATACACTGTTCTCGGTTTAAATCCCTCTATTTTTGCAGGTACTTTGGTTCCACAATTTAGTTAGATATTGCCAGTTAGATTTTTTTCTGTTTTAAATAATGAAAAAGAAGTTTGAGTGATGTAAGTCACAGTAGTCATTCTTAAAGAGAAAAGCTGCCTTTATTATTATTATTATTGGTATTTCATCAGTGATGTGGCTTGCTGCTAGACAGATCAATATCTRTTGATGGGATATAATTCATTCTTCAAGTTCAGATGGTAGCTAACACTCAGAGTATAGTACCCCTCATTTTCTCACTTTCCCTCTGAGCATAATTGGGGCTGTTGATGTATAGCCATCTGATACGGTGCCTCGGGTCTGTTGGGCCTTTCTTTCTCACTCTCCCCTTTGCACAGCGAGTCCTCTCAAAGGAGAGGTTTGTATCATGTCTTAGGGAGCCTTAAGCTAAGGGGAGGTATTAATAGCAACAAACAGCCTTTTGACCTTAAGGCTTGATAACTCCCGCTAGCTGTAGACTCCTTGGTGGAATTCCCCCCTCTCCCCAGCTTGTATCAAATGTGCCAGCACACTTCATTTTTGCTTTGAATAACTAGAAAGTCTGGTTATACTACTGTTGACTCAGTTCCCACTGCCTCTAAAGAGAAAGTTAGTTTTAATTCTCTTGGGTGGAAAGTCCCTTAATGCAGACAATGAGTGTACAGGACTGTGTGTGTCAACAGTGTCTGCATGATTCTGCCCCCAGTTTAGTTCCTTTGCTAAGCAGTATGTCTGTGGATAAGGTTTAGTAGTGTACCCCCAAAATCATCGTGTTCCTCAATGTCTGGGTTTTGTCAACATGTGCTCTAGCCAAGTTGTTCGATTTTTCTGGATATATTCAGAAGACTTAGTAATCTACAGGGCAAATATTTTAAAGCTTTGAAATGTCAGTTTTAAAACTAACCTGTTTACTAATATTTAAAATTGTCTGSCTTTATTCAAGGGACATAGGAAAGAAACGAAGAAAGCAATCAGCCAGCTTCAGCTGCATACTGTGAAGCGTGGAGACAAGGTAAGGCAGTGGCTTTGGTTATATTTGAACAGTGCTGCAAAGYAGTCTTTGTAGAATTAAAACTAAAATGCTGGCAAGGTTGCCCAGCTGGAGCGCGACCCCTATAACCTCCTTAGCGCCTTTGCTTAGGTGCCCAAACTGGGCCTGTTTCTGAAATGCAAGGCTGGCTGCTTTGTTGCAAATGGTATCTGGTCGTGCACAACACTGCAGGAGGCTGGAAAAGGCTGGCTCTGTAAACATAAGGAAACACCAATATCTTATCAGCACTTACAAGCATCAACAAGTGAATTGCAAAGCCCTTCCTAGGATTTATCGACTGCACAGTTTTTATAGTTGATGTTTTGTTTAGTTTTCTTTTTTTAATGGAATATCCATAGTTTTTATTGATTAGAAAGCTTTAGAAATCTAAAAAGCTATGAAAAATATTTATTTTATCCATTTTGACATCCAATACATTAAGGAGCAATATAGACCTGCTTGAAGCATAAATTAAAATGTATTTCTATATTAAAACTTTCTGAAAGTCATATTGATTTTTTTTTTTTAAATATATGAGATTGGTGACTAAACTTACTAAATGTACCACCTGCCCTCTTGTCCCACCCAACTTGAGGTATTTGATCAGTGGTCAAATCACTTTTTAAGTTTTCTTTTCAGTCATAAATAAAATTAAGGTAATAATTGCCCTAGCYTGCAGAATACTTCCTAGAATACTTCTTTCATGTATTAAACCATTTTGAAATTAAAAGAAAAACTGTCTTTGACTTTTTCCCCTTATGCATTCAGCACGTTTAAGTAGCCTTTTACAGTTGTTTGTTAATCTTTGATTATATTCTAAATTCCAATTAAGTATAATGCTTGTCAAGATACAAATAGAAGAATGTTAATACTTCTGTGCAGAATCAAGATCAAGAAAGGTTGAATTGAACCAAAACATGTGTAAAGTAGTAACAAAGTATCCGGATGTAAAGAGGACCTGATGAAATCTGTGATGAGGACCATGAAGAAGCTGTTAACTACTTTAAGTTGATATTCAGTAGACCTTTACCAAGGTCTCTGAATCCTTTACCAAGGATTATGAAGTTGTTTGCAGGGTACCAGCCAGTTTCCTCCCATCTACGTAACCTTAAGGGGGCATTTGTGCCTGGTGTATTGGTTGTAGCTATGAATGCCACGTTGGTTTTGCAAAGTAGAATGAAATTATGTTAAAATCTATAAAATACAGGTTTTATCCTTGATAAATTATGTTTTATCATTTGGTTTGAATCAGCAATCTTAGATCACTTAGTGATGCAAATGCGCTTTTGTGAACTGATATGAGTTCATCTGAAAATAGACTTGTCTACTCCCTAAATGTAGACTTTTAAATATTTCCTTTCATTTAGTCACAGTTATTGAAAGAGTATATTTATCTTACTGTGACACAGGACAACCTTTCATTATTTCACGCAGAGTTGAGGCATTTAACTAAAAATAGGTCAGCCTTAAAAAGTGAATTTGTTATCATCTAGATCTTTCCTGAGAAGCTTAAGGGATTATTGTAAAATGGACACTCACTTGATTATGTGTTACATACGGTGTGCTTGGACTTTGCCTCTTGTCCAGAATTAAAAATATTTGCAGTAGAATAAGTATTGTTTGTTTTTTCTGCTTTTGTTGAAACAAATCTTAATTTGACTTGTATAAGAGCTTAAGTCCTTAATTATGTGGGTTGATAGCATGCAAAAAAKGCTTTGATCTTGAAAGCTTGCTTGTAGTAGTAATTTATATGAACATTTGCAGTACTGATATTGAAATAGTGCAGTAAGCAGCAAACAAAGTATTTATTCTGTGGGGATGAGGGATGGGTGCACTTGTGCTCTGTTCTTCTAATACTTGGTTTTTAATACAACCCAACTAACACTGAATTATTTCTCCAGAATATATCCTTCATATGTAGCCTGTTATATATGACCTGTCGGGATCTTTTGAAAGAATCAAACCTGGGGAGAGTGGGAAAAACTCTGCTTTGACAATATCTTTGTTATGGGGTTGGAGAGGATTTTTAAAATCCTGCAAATTCTTTACTTCAGTTCTCCCCTAGCATCCTAAGGCTGTTTCCTAAAATGAGATAGAAGGAAGAAAACTGTGAGGAAAGAAGAGTTTGTAATGTTCMGCCCTCAGAATCTCTTCCTACATCAGTGCTAGCAAGTGCTGGGACCATCAGTTAAGAATTAGACACACTTGCATCTCTGTGGACCTCTCAAACCTCCTTGCTGTTGTATCGATGTTCAACTAAAGTTTTATTGTGGTCCCATGAACACAGGCAGTGTTTGTCATTTAACAAGTGGCTTAAGGTGTCAGTTACAGTGGTATAAATTAGTAACTGGAGTTTGACTGGTTTTCATCTTTGGAATCACTTGATCAAATCGCCTCTTGATGGAATCTTGCATTAAATGAAGCAGTTTATTTGCTAGACCATTCCAGAAACACCYTCTTGCAAAGGTATATATGAGATGTGCAGCTTGTTATTGTAATGGAACATAATAATAATATATAATGTATAATAGTGTATAGTATATAATAAGGTACTTAAATGTGTYGTCATCTTTAGGGTTTAGATGTTGATGTGGAAAACTGTGCTGTATGTATTGAGAACTATAAACTGAAAGATACTGTCCGGATTCTGCCATGCAAGTAAGTTACCAAAGTTGTTCTCTCCCCCTCCCTGGCTTTTCCCTTAGAAATATGCAGTGATCTATCTGGAAACTCTCCTGGAGCTTTGAAGGGAGAGCTGTGTGCCGAGCTGAAGCCATGCCCTTTGTATGGCCACTTACATCCCAAAGGGCTCTGGGAGGCTGCCCAGCACTTTATATGGATATAGGTAGCACTTAGAGCCTCTTAGTGGTGCAAGTTAGAACTGTAGATGGTTGAACTGCTGATTCAGTGAGTTTGGTGGTTAGTAACATGTTTCTTAAGAAGCCTAGTGTGTAATTAAGAACTTGTGCTTATACCTGTCCTAGTGAGTTACAAAATGCTGAAACATTCCTGCACACTGAAAAGCTGCTCACTTTTTATTACATTATCTGCTATGCTTTGTGCTCTGCTATGCTTTGTGCTATGCTCCCAAACAATTTGTAGGTATAGCTCAGGCATACAAGCATGCCAGGGATAGCTGGGATGGGCAGTTCACATGTCACCATCTGTTTTGGAAGCTGGGTTTGCTAGGGAAAACATGGGTAACTCTAAATATGAGAAGATCCTCAACATTTCAATGTATTGTAATTGGATAATCATAGGAAAACCCCCTTACGCATGTGATGTTATGGACTTTTTGAGCTTTAAAATGGCTGCTCTCATATGTATAGCAGCTGTTAAATCAATTTTTAGAGTTTTGCCACTAAAATACTGGCAGTRGCTCTGCAAGGATAATGATGCAATATGCATATGCATGGTGGTTCTGTGTATTAAGATGAAAAATGCAATTCTTCAGAACTTTATCTCAACTGTTGCAACTTACAGAATATAATTTTTTCTTCAATCACTTAGACTGCAAAATGATACTTTAAAAATATTATCTATATGAGCTGTAGGATAATTATCAAGATTTTGAAAGAATTGGCTTGTCTTTTAATATAAAATCTGTAATGATAAGAAGTTCTAATGCATATTTGTTTTCTTTAGGCATATCTTTCATAGAACGTGCATTGACCCTTGGCTTTTGGACCACCGAACTTGTCCGATGTGTAAACTAGATGTTATTAAAGCTTTGGGATACTGGGTAAGTTGCACAGTTRCACAATGTGAGAAACAAGATTTCACCATTGACCATTCAGAGTATGAGATCAGTTGTTGCTTGCCTAGYCTGAGGAAGCTGAGCAAAGTTGCCAGCGTGATCGAGAGAGAACCAGAAAAATAGGGGATTTTTATGAGTAATAGCTTAAACTGTGTTGCACAGTGGGCTAATCCTCCATGTACTCTTCTTCTGTAATAACCAAGTTTTTCTAGCTTCAGCTGACAATAGTAATGAAATTAAAGCAGAAGTGAGGCAATTTGCCTAAGCTGCCCAMATCTAGCTGATTTCAGTACATCTAGAATATATGCTGTCTTGTGGARAGCTCTGATTCAAAGGAAGAAATTAGCGTTTCCAAGTTGTGTTTATGTATGCTTCTACGTATGCCCAATGTCTTATCCTTGTAAATGGACCGGTACTCAGAATCTTCCAAAAGACTTTCACCAGGCCTTACGTAACTGGASAAAACGATGTGCTTTCATTTCTTTCTGACAGCACCAGAAAAGAGAGATGAAGACACATGCGGTAGGTTACTCGGTCGCTGTTGCTCAGTAGTCTTGAGTTCCACTAAAATGCCATAGGCACCAGTGTACCTGTAATGTCATGTATACCAGACTGTGGTGGCTCTGTACATCGAATCTGACTTCACCCAGAATGTGTAATCTTTTTGGTCACGTGGAACAGCTACAGTTAATTATATTAATATGACTGCACTAATAGCTTATTTTGGCTTATTTTCAGTTCTGGAAGTTGATCTGATCTTTGTATGCATAGAGATTTTTTTGTTATTTTTTTTATGGTCTGAATAATAAAAAAAAAAAAGTCCTTCAGAACGTATTTTTTCTTCACTGAATTTGAACTGTTTTAGTGGATGCTGATACCAAGCTTAATGAAGAGTAGTAATATCTGTGCTTTTTAGGAAAAAAATGTTGGAAGTGGGTCGAAGCATATGACGTTATATACAGAAGCCCGTGTTTTTCCTAGGGGAACGAGGGAAATGAGCTTTCTTGTAAACATCCAAGCTCCGCTGAAATTAGTAACGTGCAAAATGATTCAGTGTTTTATCTAGGTTAGCTCTCAGCTTGATTCGGGTTGCTCAGCCTGCTTCATAGAGTGATTGTGTGAATGTGTAGCTGGCACTAAGAGAAAAAGTAGGTGTGAGGAGCAAGAGAGCTCCTGCCASTGGTGAGCTCCCCGAGCGACGTGACTGCAGCCCGCGATGTGCAGCCCTGCTACTGAAATCCAGTGCACCTTCTGCAAAGGCCCTGGAGGCCAAATGCAATCTTAAACACATCTATTTTCCATATGTCCTTCAGGTCTTAAGAGCTTAAAGTAGAAAGAAGTTATTGAGTTCTCTCTCCTTGCTCTTGTTTTGTAAACAAGGGACTTCAATGAGCTGAGTCTGCATTATGTTTTTTTTTCTTATGGGGGAAAAAAAAAAGATTCACTCTGTTCAGCTTACTGATTTCATGGAGCATTGTTGAATCTTGTAACTTTGGTGCCTATTTAACTTTTTTTTTTTTTTAACGGAAATCATTAACTGCTACACACACCCCTCAACGAAACTAGGAGATTAATTGTCATGTGTCTTAACTTGTCTTTAAACATAACTATTCTGTAACTTGCTGAAACTGAGCACATTTTAAACTATGCTGCCTTGATACTAAAGAATAGACCAGCCTAGAAGTTCAGAAGTCTTAAGGAGATAGGAGTGGAGTTTGCTCATTGTTTGGAGCAGAGCAGGAGGACTATTAATTAAAAAGCCAGGGAAATAGCTACATCACACTGCAGTGTGTACTTGCCTGTGCATAAATAATGCCCTTACATTTATTTCATAACATTAATGGCAATGACTCTTGAAGGAGGTCTGTTTAATTTTAGAAACAGACCTGTGTGAGACTTCTCTGATCCCTTCTGAGAGCTGGTTTTAGTAAAGCAGATCACGTTAGATAATAGCAGAGATAAATCACTTGTGTTGAAGGTGTTTTATTCTGGTAAACTGAGATGGTGGCATCCTCATCTTCTGGAAGGATTTAGGATATGCTATTGGAAGAAGAGGAAGGAAGTTTGTTCTGATATCAAAAGTTTGCTTGCCTCAGTAAAAACAATAAAACCAGTGCAAACCTCCCAACCTAGTGTCGTGAAAAAGAGCAGTTTCTACAAACTCAGTAGAAGTTTGCACAGAGTTAGCAGGCTTTGTGTGGGCTCAGCAGGCTCCGAAGCAGCCTGCAGCCGTAAAGCTGCTAACAAGCGCTGGGACACTCGATCCTGAAGGCGAGCTCAGTAGCCTGCTGCAGTTGCTCTTCTTGCTTTATTGATTTTTCAGTCAAATATTAAAACTGAGAGCAGATGCCGCTCGATTCTGTCCCCGTTGAGTGTGGAAAATGGGGGAGAATTATCCTTTTCCCAGTAAGGTCAGATTTCAAAGTGCTGTAATGGGAGGCTGTTGATTGCTGCTGGCGGAGCCAAGTGTCAGCCCCTGTGCTTCATTTTGAAGGGGGACCCGGAAGACACGCTCGACGTGCCCATACCGGAATCGATAAGCGGCAGCGTTTCGGTGGGCAGCCTGAGCATCGCTTTGCAAGAGGACGAGCGAAACGAAGCGAGCGACTTGTCGGCTTCCTCCACTAATGAGTCGGTATTGCAGTGCACCAGCTTGAAAGAGGATGCAGGGGAAACCACAGCGTTACTCGGTAAGTAATAACGGGGTATATCACCTGACAAGCCTTAGTGCCGCTACTTGGGTTGGAAGAAGCCTTTCTTGAGTGTTTTTAGTAGGCCTAATGCTGACCAGATTGAATGGAGTTGTTACCAGTATTCAAAAATTACAGGTAGGCTCCCGCCAAGCTGAAGGAGATTTGACTTGAGAGATGTAAATAAGGTTTTGAGAGGATTACTCACCTAGAAGACCCTGAAAACCTTAGATATATCTGAGCATGGCTTTTTTGTTTTTCTTTTTTCCTTTTCTTTCTTTTTTTCTTTTCTGGAGATGAAGTTAACAGGTAAAGTGCAATAAAATGGTCAACAAACAAACAATTTATCTTCTAATTCCTCATTTCTAGATGTGGATGTCAGTAATAACCGGCATGGAGAACATCTGTCTAATGGAAGTACCCATTGAACTGCTTCATGGAAGATACCTTGAACAGACTGTTAAAGAACTTTTATTTTTTATTTAATTAGTACGAACTTTTGTCTAATTAATGGAAAATAACAATGTAAATTATTTTACCTTTCAAACTTTTCTAGCTGGTGTTCCAAAAGGGCTAATAACTTAGAATTTTGTACAAAAGAGGATTTTATAAAATTTCCTCTGGATGTCTCATCCTAAAAAAAAGAAAAAACCAACAAAAAAAGATGCAATAACCCTTTTTCTGTAAACATTATTACAATGTCGTTGTGTTCCAGAGGGCTGTAACAAAGATGAAGACTAGGGCAGTGAAAGCCATGCAGAATGGTGAACGGTAAATATTTTGGATGCACTATTTACATTCAGTACCTACACCCAGAGAACACTTACAAGACTAGAGCTCTTAAAATGATCTGAAAGTTCTGATGTATTGCAATTGGAGATAGATGCTCTTAGAAAGGGGAAAAAAAAACCCACACTCTAAGGATTATTTGAAGAAATCAAATAACTCATGGATATGCTACATATCCTTTTTCAAGATGAAAAAGTAATAGTTACAAATTTCCTTATATGTAATGAATGCTGATGTGATCTTGTAATGTGTTCCACTCAGAGTGGATACTGAGAGAAAAGGAGGCTTTCTCCAGCTCACTAGCTTTTTATACTGAATTTGGCAGTAATAGGTTGTGCTGGGGGTCTTAACGTGCTGAGCATGTAGACTTATTTAGGTATATGCACACTGGTTACCTCTTTCAATCTTAAACTCAGTAGAATGGAGGTAAAGGGCTAATTATGGCTAAAAATATATTTATTAGTCTATTTATAAGATTTTACTGAACTCCTTACTCCTGCTCCCATCCTGTCTCACTTCCTTATGTATAAGCTGGAACCATTTCCTAAGATGTTCTATGAAGCTTTTTTTTTTTTTTTTTTTTTTGTCTGTAGATGCTAGAATTCTTTTCTTGGTGGTTCCATCTTCTTAGGAATTTTGACTGGGTTTATCATTAGCTTTTATTCCTTTCTTTTGGATTAGAAGTATTGTGCCTTATAGTGAAACATTTATTAAACCTGAAGCATCTGAKAGTAAATATAAACCCTGGCATCTCCTATTAGGATCTCTTATTCAAATATTTATATACTGTAAGTGGTATAAGGAATTGCTAAACGGTTTTGTAAAGAGATGTATATTTAAAACACTACTTACCAAGAATGCTAAATGAGTTGTTTAGGATTTTAGTATTGTCATGTTATAAATGTCCTACATTCCTTTTTTTTTTAAAGCTGTTAATTGCAGGTTGTTTAAAACAGTGTCTCTTACTAGACACTTGTTTTGGAGTGCATTTTGTTTCTTAGATGTATATTTGGAATGTTTTTAAGGAAAATATGCAATTCTTTTTCTAACTTATATTGAGCTTCAATAGAAGCAATATATTCTTTTTTTTTTTTTTAATTTTAGAGTGAATGTTCCAGAAAATGACAGAGGTTTCAGCTGGGGAAAAAAGAATCTGAATTTGTATTTTGTAGAGCAGATGTTTCATCCTAAATTTTCTTCAGAATATTCTTATAAATGCCTACTCAAAATCTGGAAAATTGTCAGGTGGTAGTTTCCTGATGTCACCAGCAGGTGCAAGTTTTTGTGATGCCTTTATCTTTTGAGAAGCACAGGAGAATGGAATGTGACTGACCAACCATGTCCAAAACTAAACAAAACCCAAACCTACAGCTAAACCAATGCATTAGGGGCCTATATGTCTCCAAAAACAGCTTATCAATGTTTCCAGAAACTGCCTTTTTAACTTGTTCTTCAGTATGAAAATTAAGTCTTCTCCCTCTTCCTTAACACAAAACTGAACATTGATACAGTTCATATTGAGAGGTTTTAAACTCTAGCTCAATAACGAGTCGAAGGAGTTATGAAGAGAAGCCTTGTCAATGCGTGGATCACGACTTGCTGACACCTGCACCACAGTGTTCCTGCTGGAGGGAAGAAATGTGGTAAGTGCTTCACCTTTTACTTGTAAAAATAGTCTTTTTAGAATCCAAGCCACAAACTGACAGAAAGCGGGAAGCAAAGTTTTAAAATCCAAAGTGTAAGTAATGCTTAGTACTACTGATTTTAAAAAGTATTAAAAAGTAAAAAGATTTTAAGTGCCCTAGTATGAAACTGCTGGAGAACTTTTTTAATGAGGACACTACCCGTCTCCCCTCAAACCTCAGAAGAAGGGGAGCAGCCTCTTCAGCTGAGCTGGTCCGCAGGCTTAGGCAGGCCTCCTGAGAGGAGTGCTGAGGAGTGATGACAGTAAAAGGCCGAATTGCAGTGCTCCCCGAAGCAGTGAGCTCTCCTTGGAGGCACCGTGACAAAGTCTCCTGAAGCGAATCTCGAGTCTGACCTCAGCAAAATGGCCACATGCCTTAGCAAAGGAAAGGGGTAGGAAAAAGTATCTGTGGGAAAAGACAGGAAAGCTATGGCACTTGAAAGAGCACTGTGGGATGACTGGAAACGTGCAGGATCTCCTGCACTAATACAGCACCCACAGGAAGCTTGTAGAGTGAAAGGCTGTAAGCAATGGTCAGTTCCCAGGTCTTGATCTGCACCTATTGTACTGCATCAAGCTAGTATTTCTATCCACTAGCCCTATACAATTCCCTAGGATTTGTATGAGGGTCAGGACTAATGAGGCTTTTTCTCCTGTGAATATTTTCCCTGCTTGAACAATCTCTAAATGTGCCTCTYYTGCTTAGGTTATCTGCTGCTCAAGGGGGCTGTTCACGCTGCCTCCCCACCTTTTCCTGGCATCTTTCCTCTGTTTCTATCTGTGTGTGTTTTGTAAAAGGGGAACACAGGAACTTGTATCAGATTCCCATGCCTCTATGGGGTGATGATGAGGTCCTTGTAGGGCCATAAAGCAAAAGGGCAGCGCCAGCTGCAAGGGGACACCCAGCCTGCCCCTGGGGGCTATTGAAACTGTGACTCAGAAATGGGCAGAACTGCAGCAAACTAGAAGGCACTGCCTGAAGATAAAACATTGCAGAAAAGGGGTCACATCAGTCCAACCTTGCAAGTCTTGCATTTATATTAAAAACTAGTACTTAASAGGCCCAAAATCATGTATTGCCTGCTAATTTGTGCCTTCTCTTGCACTATAAAATGAATGTCTCAAGTTACAAGGAATCTGCTCTCTGTCCCTTGTTAAATTAACAGGCAAGAGCTTGGAGAAAAACATAACCACTGGTAGAGCTGGGAAGTGTCTAATGAGCATAAATCAAACACAGTGCTGCACAGCAAGGGCAGCTAGATTGAAGTGGTGGCCGAGCAGGCGGCACCGGGGCCCTTTTCCCTCGTGTCCCGGGGCTGGAGGCCTCCAGGCTGCCGAGCAACAGCCCTGGGAGGCGCAACCAGCGGCGCTGGCTTCTGGGGCAGTGACTGGGGGCCCGGGCTAAGTGGCAGCGCGGACTAAGCCAGCTGGGCAAATAAAGCTCAAGAGCCTTTACAAAGGAGCTGCTGCTGTCCTGGGCTGTTTCCCAACTTTGTGCAACAGGCCAAGGGTTTGCTGCCTCTACATTGCAGAGGGCTCCCCTTGGGTGGCTTTTCCCGAAACCAGCTCAGCAGCAGCAGCTGTGGGGTGGTTATTCTCCCACCTGCTATGCCTCGTGCTTCAGGGAAGCTTAAAGGTAGCGAAACCTCTGACTGCACAGGGGCTCTTTCTCAGGGAGAAGCCCAAGTTGTTGGTGTTTCATTATGGTGACAACAATAGGACAACAGGGTGGGACCATGATTTGTTATTTAGCCTTCCCCTAAGAGGAAACTTCTTACAAGTCTAAACATGTAACCACTATTAGCAAAAGCAGTTAATGCTTTGAAATACACAGCAGTTTAAAAATGGATTTTGAATTTGTGAATTTTTTTTTCAGTTGTTGTCAAAGCTGTAAATGTGTAACAACAAAGATGTATCATTGTTACAGTGGACAGTTACACCAGCTCCACAGCCCCGCGTGTGGCAAAACTAAGAGCATTTGCTCAGAAGAGCCTTGGGGGCTCTGTATGAAGGCAGTAATTACTGTGGAGAGAGGCTTTATTTTACCTTTTTACTTTTGAGGGAGCAGCAAGGTTATCTGGGTTAGATTTTCATGAGTTAGATTTTCAGCATTTGGTCCAGCACTGCGGTGCCTTGGTGCTGGACCAACATACTGTGGTCAACAGGAGCGTACTGACTGTGCAGCTCTATGGAGAAAAGAGGAGTGTGTATTTATTTATTTTTAAGAACGTGTACAAATACCTGAGGGGAGAATGTAGGGAGGAAGGGGCCAAACTCTTCTCAGCGCTGGCCAGTGACAGGACAAGGGGCAGTGGG